ATTTATTATTTTGCGGAAAAACTTTCAATCTATTCATCTTCAATCATGGTAGTACAACGGACACTAGAAATAATAAAAATTACATCCGGAACCGTAGACCACCTAGTGACGACTACAAGCAATGAAGCGAGCCCAAGCGCGCCACTGTCATCGCCCCTCCCTCGACAGAGCCGGGCAAACATTGTTGTAGTAGACAGTCGGGAAGTCGCCGTGCTAAGGCCCCATAGAACCAACGCACCAGAACAGCAACCACCGCAGATGAAGAGTGTAGATCAAAAGGATCCAACCTGAAGACAAACGAACGAAAACGAACGACGAACAGATCCGAACAAATCCACCAAAGACAGATCCGCCGGAGACACACCTCCACACGCCCACCGATGATGCTACACACACCACCGGAACGGGGACTAGACGGGAAGACCTTTATTCCATCTTCAGGGAGCCGCCGCCGTCTCGCCTTCCTGAGCAGGACACAAACCCTAACAAAGCTCGAAAAAAGATATGAAAGCGGAGCCCTCCCACCGGCAAGGGCCGAGATCCACTCCGCCTCCATGGCCCTAAGGCCACCGGAGACGGGACGGACCGGCGCCGGTGGCGGTGGGAGGCAAAAAACCCTAGTTTTGGGGAGGCGGCGGCTGGGTACGTTCGCTAATTAACCCGTGTTAATTAACTAACAAGTAAATCTATTCCTAACAGATACCAAGAAAGTCATTTTGCCCCTAAAATTTTTAGGTGGAGGAAAATAATTCGAGTTTGTTGCCAACAAATTTCATGATTTTTTAACCATTTTTCAATTACATTTTTTTGAAAAATGGGTTCATATGCCCCATGTTCCAAACGTTCTCATCCCTCCAATTTCCCCTGAGACACATGCATTTGGTAGTTTGGCACTACGATGAGCACTTTACTGGTGAACTTGTACTCCCTCCATTTCTTTTGACTCTGCATATAAATTTTGTCTGAAGTCAAACTTCATCAAGTTTGACCAATATTATAGCAAAAATATCAACATTCACAAATATGAAATCAAATATCATTGGGTTGTTAAAAAAGTCAATATGATTGGGTGCATAATGGAATTAACTTTTATACTCCATTGCATATCTTTAATATTGTAGATGTTGATATTTTTTAATATAAATATGGTCAAACTTCACAAAGTTTGACCGGAGACAAATTTTATAGAGCGCAAGCAGTCTCCTAGAGCGCACGCACGGCATGTACAACTTGCCAATCTGATAACATCAAACATGGAGTACAGAAAAGTTTATTAACTGCAAACCACATTTTCAACTTTGTACTAGTACACGCGTTCAAGTCATGACGGAACTGACTCCGGCCGGAAACGGAGTACGTACACAATCCCAAGTGCATGCCAGTTTCCTAGAAATGTGCTGAAATTTCCAATGATTTTTGTTTGTGATTCCCACTTAACCATAACGTGTGTATGCGAATAACCTCAACGTCACCCGTTGGAAGCACCCAAAGCTGCTCTAATTAGCTTGGACCGGAAGTAAAAGCATGACGAAAGCATGCATCCCTGCACTAACCATAGTAACCTAACATCGGAGGATAGTTTCCAGCTTGAGACAACGCGCGCGTGTTTCCATTTTAGTTTTGAATAGGTAACACGTACGTATCCAGCATATTGTCCAAGACAGTAGCATACCATCTACATCTTCTGCCGGGCGGCGGCAGTAAATTGTTTTCCTGTCAAGTTAGGTTGTTTTTCAGGTCAGAGCAGACACTAGAAATATGCTGGTAAATTCGCTCCGAATCTGCGGCGACGAGCTGACCTGACCATATACTAAACGACATATGCAGCGATAGCTGAACGAGATCCTGGGGGGAAGCTCTTGCTGTGCTGCCACTTGTACAGCCGGGAGGTGGAGAGGAGGGTGTGGGTGCGCATGGTGCCAACTGCCAATCCTCAACGCGGATTGCCTCTTGGAATCAGGCACCGGCACATTTCCTGGGACTCAGCTTCAGATTTTTCTTTTTTTAATGACATGAATCAGAACTGTACCTGCCCATTAGCCCACAAGACCGCGTGCAGTCCGCCATGCATGCAAGTTTCCCTTGAACAAAATGGCTGAGCACAAAAATAAATAAATAATGCGCCTAAAGTCGGAGTACTAAGCTAAGCCTACTACGGTAGTCTCCCTGCTCACGTATACTACTTTATATAGCAAGCAAAACGCGGCGCTCCCGTGGCTCACGTACGTCGCCCCGCCGCGCATGCAGATTGATCAAGCTCCACCTGGTACGTACGTGCATGCTGGCTGCGTCGAAAGTACTACTCCGATCGAGGAGGAGCATAGGAATAAGGATACACGACCCGTCGCTCTCTCGATCTGGCCATACGCGCGTACGCACCTTCCCCGCTCTTACACGTACAGGCAACTACTCGCTCTCTCGCCACGCGGTGGACGAAACCTACAAATAATAGGCCCAGCGCCTCTCCTCCTCTTTCCTTGCCTAGTTCCATTCATCCTCCCCACACACACTACACAAAACCTCTTTCATTCTCCCCTCCCTCTGCAACCCCTCCATCTCCTCAACAGCGCACGGCCACGGTAGACATAAGTACGTACGTCCATCTCCGCCGCGTGCAAGGTGCAAGTGCCACGGTACTATATATCCGCTTTCTTCCTTCCCCTCTGACCTATTTTTCTTATCTAACACCATGTATATGTTGTTCCCTAGCTAGGCATACCCTCTCCATATCATACCATGGCGCCTCCCGGCTACGACCTCATCCTGGTCGTTGATTCTGACGGCGGGGTCTGGATTGTTTGCATTCAGGACGAGAGCACGCAATAGCAGGTGCACATCTCCGGTCCCTCACCTTGTTATACATCTTCACCCAAGCTAGAGTTCACCTACGTTGCTAGTACATATCGATGCGACTAACCAGTTGTTCCTTTCCATATATTGCCATTAATCGTTATCTTATGTTTTTCATCATCCACCGGATCGGATCATGTTTGCTGCACAACTTACGTTTTGCTTGCTTTCTTACAAAGTTTATGAGCAAATATATATGGAGGCTAAATAATATATGCAGTGTGAAGCCATCAGTTTGTGAAGTCGTCTGTGCTCTGAGAGTGTGTGTATATGCAGAGAATATGGCAACGATATATATATCTTCCACGTTCATTTCAGTTTTTCTCCCCAGACAGAACTACTACTAGCTGAATATGAGATTTCAGTACATATTTCAGAATACATAGCTGATGTTGAACTTGAGAATACACTACTCTGCAATAAACAAAGAAGAAGAATTGGTTGATAACACAAAATTTGCAAAATTATACTAGTACACACGGTGAAGTCATACATGCAACTATTGAAATCTTTATTTGAAGTACTCGTCGGTCGTTCGATACCACAACGTCTGAACGCGTCCCACATAACAGCGACAGGGCGATGTGACAGAGAACAACGCAATGCACAGAGAAATCCATATGTGCGATGTTTTCCGCCTGGACAGGACAGGTATATGGGCGTGCACATGAGAGCTGATGGAGTGTCCAAGTGCACCGACCACTCAGAGTACCGTAAAGATAATCTATTGTTCAGAGAGTACACACGTCAGGCATGGTTAATCAAATCCCCGTTGACGACCTCATCTCCTTGCCCGCGTGCTCCCGGTGAGAAACCATGTCACACCTCCGCGGAAGCTTCCTCGTGCTTTCAGATAGATGGCCGGCCTTGCACAGCGTCCCTTCTTTGCCGAAGAAGGCGAGATGTATTCATCGATCGGCTCTACGTCGAAGCACTACAATGGTGTCGCGGGCGTTGGCAATGCATGTGCATGCTGAAGTTCGTACTTTTGTACTCCCTCTGTTCCTAAATACTCCCTCCGTTCCTAAATATAAGTCTTTGTACAGATTTTATTATGGACCACATACGGATGTATATACATGCATTTTAGAGTGTAAATTCACTCATTTTACTCTGTATGTAGTCCATAGTGAAATCTCTACAAAGACTTATATTTAGGAACAGAGGGAGTATAAGTCTTTTTAGATATTCAACTACAAACTACATACGGATGTATGTTGACATATTTTAGAGTGTAGATTCACTCATTTTGCTCCGTATGTAGTCTATAGTGAAATCTCTAAAAAAACTTATATTTAAAAATGGAGGGAGTATTAACATGCCAACATGCATCACACTTCCCGTCAACTATCAGCGATCATAAGAAACGCCAGGTCAAAACAACTTTTTTTTAGGGAAGGTCAAACTGTATTAACGTTGCCACGACATTTTCAACTCCTACTCCTACTAGACACGTCAACTCATCATGCAACTGACTACGGTGGGCGGTGTTGAAGCAGCTCCGGTAACAGGCAGGTAAAACTGGAGGACGTAGACAGTCACATGCACTCCTTAAAAAATAGGAGTGCCAGTTTCCTACTCCCTCCGTTTTTAAATATTTGTCTTTCTAGACATTTCAACAAGTGACTACATACGGAGCAAAATGAATGAATTTACACTTTAAAATATGTCTATATACATCCATATGTGATAGTCCATTTGAAATCTTTAAAAAGACAGATGTTTAGGAAAGGAGGGAGTAGATATGTGCATGGACTCTTGACTAGAAATTTCCAGTTTATGTGTGATCTCAATCGAACGTCACCCGTCGGAATGAACTCTGGATGAATCAATGCGAGACACTGGATGTGATATTCCTAGATGTTTCTCCTAACATATCCAAATATCCACATATAGCTCGAAGCATCCCAACCTGCATGCCTTGGACTGGAAGCACAAGCATGACGATCAAAGCATCCTTACTCTGACGGACCGTGGAGATTAATTTCCTGCTGAGAGAGACAACACGTTTCCATCTGTTTCGGAAAGGTAACACGTCTACATATTACTAGCTTTGGAGCCAGTACATAAATCAGTCCTATTGAGTTTTCCCGAAAAACGATGGCTGCTTAATCTCTGACACCTGCCATCTCCTGCGCTTCTTTAGCCTTCTAAATCCAGATATCCAATTTGATCATTAGTATGCACTTTCTTGAATCGAGTCTAGCAACATGTTTGTAGATAGACAAGACATCAATCTTTGAAAAGCTTCTTTTATATCTAGATGCATGAGCCTCTATCTTTGAGCACTCACCAAATGAGAAAATCTGAAAGAAATAACACTTCAGTACATTGCTAGAATGACAACTTCCATCATACACATACTCAACGCATATATAAAAAGTATTATGATTCACCTCATCAGGGGCTAAGACTTTATATGATGCTCCAGGGTAACATATCATCTTCAAAGCCGTTGCAAACTGGATTAAAACCCAATCCTTGGTGTCAATTTCAGATGTAAGAATGAAATCCTTTAGAAGAAGTCGAAAGAACTTCATATACTTCTTTTCACATGATTCAACATCATGCAAGAGATAAGCAGTCTCCTTCATAGATTTATCAACCTGAAAGCCAAAAAAAATTCTTCATCCCTGAAACAAACATCATCAAGCCAAAAATTCTAGAAGACATTTCATCGATGGTTAAAACAAATTGAGTTTCTCAAACGTTATATCCCCGTACGGTGTGTCTATCAAAAACTTCAATCATTGGCAATAAAGCATTTTAGGTGCTGAAAAAGAAGTACTAGCAAGTGGCGACTTATTCAAGGTGGCTATAGTTGCTGAAAAAGAAGTACTAGCATTGACAAGGGAGAAATAAAGTACATAGCATCCATGTGAAAAATAAGGAAGGACAAGTGATAAGCTCACCATCTCAAGCTTGATATCAAAGTCACGTTGATGTAAGAATAATTCTAAATTTTTATCTGGCTCAAACTGTTCTTCAGGCAATAAAGGACACATGGGCTTGTTCAGACCGCAAATTTTCACCTCACAATCCGGAACATCAATATGTAGGCAGGTTACTCCCTAAAAAGGCAAATGGTGATCAATACTATTCACCCAGACAGAGGCAACAAGAATCTTACAAAGTTATACTAACCAGTTTTGTTTCAATTATTCTTTTATATTCAGCACTTCCCACAACTAATTTTCTACCTGAACCACACAGTTGACTGAGCCTCTTGACCAAGCGACCATCAATGACCTCATTAGTAACGTCAATGGGGGTCGGCATCTTCTCCCGCTTTATAAATGCTACGAGACTCTGAAATAAACACAAAAGGGATCTAAAAAGCATGTCAAATATTATGCATGTTCCTAAATCATGTAGAGGGCAGGGGTAATTTAGTAGCCCTACATCAACCATAAAGTACAATGTTGCTAATTAAGTATTTATTTACAATGTTAGTATTTTGAAGACAATGTTAGAGATATGACACGCAAACGAAACGATGCAAAACGAAATCAGTACAGAGGGGACACAAGGATTTAACGTGAAAAACCCCTGTAACACGAAGGGGAAAAACCGTGGGCGCCAGCCAGCCAATCTTCACATATCGGGAGAGGTTACAAATGTCGTGGATTTACAAGAGATCAACTTATCCCGTGCAACGGCTTACAAGAGGTATATATAACAGCAGTGACATAGGTCAACGCTGATCGATACCACGGGGGAGCTTCACCCCTCTGCTCCGCTCGTCAGAAGTTAGTGATTATACTTATATGTGATTTTGGATCACAACAAAACAAACAATCAATAGTGTCATACCATGGCAGGCTCCTTCACCCTTGGCTAAGAAGATGCAACTAATTCAGACATTTGTGCCTAGTAGTAGAAACTTAGATTTGAACCTGAGTTAATTGATCTTTTAAGGATCTATCAGCAGATGTCTGGCCAATAAAGATAGTGCACCTGGCAGTGGCAGCATGCCAAAAAAAACATGGTAATGTGGAAGGACCCAACCCAGAAAAACATATAATCGACCAGCTTGCTTTTTTTGAAGCTGATTAATAACAAATAACAACTAATGACTAAAGAATTAAGGAATATTCCACACACTTCTTACAACAAAAATTGACGGTAAGGACTGGTGTAATATCACGATGAATTTTTAAAGCATTACTCCGTTCTAGTTTGCAACAAGAAGCATAAGGAAACATGAAAAAAGTAGTAAGAAAGAAATAGGAGGGTTACTAACAAGTTGTGGTAAGCATGCCCAGAAGTGCTGTGAAAAAAATAGAGAGGAATCAATTCGGTGATCTAGAAGATAACAAAGACAAAACTTAGTAGCATGAGCAGCGAAAAAACAAGTACCTTCATTGGAGCTTTGAGGTAATCTCCATCAAAACAGAAAATTGCGATGCCAGACGGTGCTTGGTACAGCAGCACAGCCAATACAACATTAATCTTAACTGACTGCATGGGATTCTTCAGGCTGCGAATTATCACCCCAGAATCAGGAACCTCTACACACAAATAGGTTATTTCCTGAAAAGTAAAATGGTAATCAAGACTTCGCACCCAGACAGAACCAACGAGAAAGCTTAGAAAATTATACTAACCAGTATTGTTTCAATTATTCTTTTATATTTAGCACTTCCGACAACTAATGTCTTCTCAGAACCACACAACTTGATGAGCCTCCTGAACAGACGATTGTCAATAGCCTCATTAACAAGGTCAATGGGGGTGGGCACCTTCTCATACTTCATGGATACTATCAAACTCTGAAAATATAAATAGAGGGGGCCTGAAAATTTTGTTAAATGTAATGCAAGTACTAAATCATGAAAGAAGTCAAGGCAATTTAGTAGCCCTGCATTAGTCAGAAAGTATAGTGGTTCTTGAGCCTTTATATGTATAATTCCCTCGGCGGTACTCCCAAGACGTTCATTCTTGGTAGGAGTGCCACGCGACGGCTCATTCACATCTAGCTAGAAAGTTTACCACTTCGTAGATACTTGTGCATATCCGTACCAACTTAGGTTTGAGCAAGCGTTAATTGATTATTTTAAGGATCTATTGCAGATGTCTAGACATTTTAGATAGTGCACCATCACACCAAAATAGAACATGGTAATGAGGAAAGACTCCAACCCAAAAACAAATATGGTTGATTAGCTTAATTCAATTTCGAATCAGTTCAATAACAAATAACTAGCAAGAAATGAGTTAATTTTATTTACCACACACTTGTTCCAACAAACATTAAAAAAAACCTGGTGAAACATTTCAATAAATTTCGCAAAGCATTACTCTGTTCTGGTTGGCAACAAGAAGGCAAGGAAATATGACAATAGTAAAGGTAGGGTTACTAACAAGTGGTGGCAAGCATGTCCAGAAGTCCTGCAGAAAAAATAGAGAGCAATTGATTAGATGATATTAAATTCCTCATTGACGAGGGAGATAAAACTAAGGAGCATCAACAATGAAGAAACAAGTACCTTCACTGAATCAATGAGGTAGCTCCCATCAAAAGAGAAAAGAGTGATGCCAGTGGTTCCTTCGTATAGCAGCATAGCTAATGTATCATTACTCTTATCTTTTTGAGGGAATGGCAATGCATCAATAGTCTCTTTTTGTTTGAGTGAATGTCGATGCATCATTGACCTTAATATCTCCTGTCGAGAAACAAATCAAATTTCAACAAATGGGATTACATATGCTGCACCATTAATCCGTCACTAAGACTTTGCTGCACCATGCCGCCGAGACCCGCTGTCATCAATGTCGTAGATGCCACGCCGCTCCAAAACGATGACCTCGAGAGGGATAATGACATCTAAAGCGCCACCATCGTCCGATCTGAGGGACTCGGATCAAGGGTTTCTCCTCGTAGAAGCATGAGTGAGGAGATGTTGACTGCAATGATGATGCCTTCAACAAGGTAATGGTGCATAGACACCGCCATTGCCCGCCATGGCCGAAGTCGGAGCTCGATTTTCACTGGAGGCCATCTCTCCCAACTCGCAACCGGCTGGATCACCACCAAGTCACGCAGGCCTCCACTTAACCATCATGCCACCACTAGTGCTTGGCGTGGGATTCCAAGATCCGCTAGCACCAACCATCAATAGACCGACCACCACCGGAAGGAGGAGATCGCCGCCACCAAGCCCGGGGCCGGTGACCTTGCAGAACGTGAAGCCGTACACCCAAACATGCACGTGTGCTGCCGCTGGAGTGCTGCGTAACTACAAGCATGGCGTAGCCCGTGCGGCCCATATAGGCTCAGACCGGGCCCACCTGCCGCCATACCTCCGGCATCCTCGCCACCAGCGCGCTTGGCTGTTGCACCCACGCCGGAGAAGGAATCGACGCTGCCTCCGCACTCTAGATCAGAGCCTTATAGATCTCACCGCCAATGCGCATTTAGGGCTTTGCCCAGCCACTTCACCAACGACGGCGAGAGGAGGGGAGGGCAGTACCAGGCTGTAGGAGGGAGGGCAGGGAGCGGCCCGGCGCGACTGCACGGGGCGAGAGGGTAGGTGTAGTGACCAAGGGAATCCAAAACCAAGAGGAAGTTTCAAGAAAAACGTAGCTGACAAATTAATTCTTGAACCATACGTACCATGCCTACTCTCTTGCGTAGTCTAGTAGGTAGTAACTCAACTAATTAAGTAAGCAAAACGTAACTGACAAATTATGTTTGTCAGTTATTACCGGAGATTTACTTTCAAATTAAAAACGCTCCATTATACCCAACACAACGTGAAACCCTAAAAAAGTTAGAGAAGAAAAAGTGCGAGATCAATAGTGTGTGCTTCCTGTAGTCTGTAGATGGACCAGAACTTGTAAAACTTACAAATCAGAACGGCGACTGGCAATTGTGAGAGGCGGCCGGCCATGAACCGGAAGAGAGGCACCAAGGTGGAGGCGCGATGCAGTTGGTTTCCTCTCGCACAGCACAGGGAGACAGAGCAGGCGGCGGCCTAGGTTTCTTCAACCGATCGATAATTGCTCGTGATCCGATGCCTTGTCTAAAGTGCTATTGGGCCGCAGGATTGTCCGGGGTTTCTTTTGTGTCTGGACCTCTAGCTGCTCGTGGGTTTGGTCCAGTGGCGTTGGTCAATTGGCCCGGACAAACACTGTAGCTCGCCCCAGTGCGACCCTAAATCCTATTAGGGCATGTACAATGGAGCTATCTTAGGAGTGACACGCAGGATAAATGATGAGGTGGAGGAGAGAGGACTCGTAAGAAAAGTCTTGTCTTCTCTTATTTAAGAGAAGACAAGAGATGATCTCTTAGCACAATATGTCTCACCATATTTTTAGGAATAGCTAGTTATTGAAGATAAGACTAAGAAATGACTTATTGTAGACATCTTTTTTTGTCATATCTAAATTACATGCAAGACTTAAGATAAGACTATCTTATCAACCATTGTACATGTCCTTAAGCTCTTAAGTCGCCGGTTTTAGGCCATTTGGCAAAACGGCGCACCCCCCCCCCCCTCCGCTTCACTGTTCTTGTATGAGCCAGCCCAAGTAGTTTTTCATTTCACCGGTTCATGACCCGTGGTTTTTTTTGTTATCTTTCTTTTGTTTTATCATGACGGTTTTTGCGCGGTTTTTCCATTTCTATCTTTTTTCCTTTTTTGTTTTCATTTTTATTCTTCTTTTACCTTTTCCATTTTATTTTAATTTTCCTATTTTCATTTTTAAATGCATGAACATTTTTCAAATTTGAAAACTTTTCCAAATTCATGAACTTTTATTATCAAATTCGAGAACCCTGTTTTCAAAACACCTGAACTTTTCCTCAAATTCGTGAACTTCTTTTCAGACCCGCTAACATTTTCCCAAACTCTATGAACTTTTTTCAAATACGTGAAGTAGTTTTTTCAAATATGATGAGCTTTTTCCACACCCATGATTTTGTTTTTCAAAATCCATGAGCTTTTTCATATTCCCATTTTTTTCTTCAAAACCGATGAACTTTTTCCAAATCGGCGAACATTGTTTTCAAAATCCATGAGGTTTCTAAATTTTTTGAACTTTTTAAAAAATCATAAACTTCACTTAAGTTCACTGAATTTTTTTTGTTTTTTGCGTTGGACGGTCAATCGCGGCCGGTTAACAACTACCAGCGAACTGTGGATACTGGCAAGCGAGCAATCAATCACTTCCTTTGTTGGGCCGGCCCATGAGGAGGGCCGCGCGATCGCTGGCTACTCTGTCTGGTATCATTTACTGTAGGATTGGTATCATATACTAGAATATATATTTGACAGTGCCTCTGATCCGGTTTTACATTGTGGTTCAGTTATTTTTACACACTGCGGCAGATGACCTCTTTTACTTTCGTATTACAGTGTGCTTGATGCACTTTTACAGTGTACTTTACTAATATATATTATTGTATGATCACGGTAATTGATGGTTTTATTTGCTGTAAGTTCGACAGCTAATAGTTTTTTTCCAGTGCATCTGATCTGATTTTAGGTTTGTTTTACAGGCTATGTTTAGAGCATTTTTTTACATTGATTTTTACAGAGCCATTGATGGATTTTTTTACTGGTCTTTCATTTTCTATGAAGTCTGAGATTTTGTTTTTTGCGAGAATATGTGGTCTGAGATTTTGACAGTGTTCTTTTTACCAGCTTGCAATGCACACAGTAAGTGCATTGTTTCGGTGGGTGGACACACCCGTTATTGTTCTAGTGGGCCGCTGAGATCAGGTGTCGTACAGAAGACATGGGCATGGACGAACAGAGACAAACAGATGACAGGTTCCCATTGACCGAAAAATTAAAAGGTTTTCAGTTCGACTGTGAATTAGACAACCCAAAATTATACTACGAGGGTGTTTATTTTCAGGGATTTATTGGCTTAGGGACTTAAAAAAGTCCCTATAAGTCCCATCTAAACCAAACAGGAGGGACTTATAGGGATGGTCGTTTGGGACTTATGAAATAAGACTCTCAAGGAGGGACTTATAGGGACTTATAGTTGTAATATGGTCTTATAGGGACTTATAAGTCCCAGGAACCAAATAGGTAGGGACTTTTTAGGGACTTGAGACTTATAAGTTGGGACTAAAAAAAGTCCTAGGACTTATGAACCAAACAGGGCCTACATCATCTCATTTCACGTGCGACGCTTGGTAGATGTGTTCTGCCATAAGCCACAAGATGGTCGTCAGTTCGCCACCGTTGTTGAGCTTCTTGGCATGGGACTCCCTGCTGCACTTGTTGCCCGCGTAAACGAGAAAGTCCATCCACACATCAAGGACTAGCTCCAAGGAGTAGTCGGCGGTGCCGTCCCTCTCCTTCTCCAGCAGTTCCTTGGCGAGTCGAGCCGCATGAATGAGACGAGGAGCAACGTGGCCATACTCCCGGTCCTCGTACTCATCGTACAAGTTGTTTGCGAGCTCCTCCCTCTCGGCGACCTTGGAACGGCTGGAATTTGGGCCATCACGCACACGGAACAGATCCTTGACGCGTGCATGGCTCGGGTACCTAGGATCAGCCGATCGCATGGTAACCAGCCTCTCGCAGGTCCGTTGGTACAACCTCTTTTGGGGTTGGCCTGGCAGCATGTAGGGATGTTCTACCAGGAGGAACATCATGTAGTCGGACAACAACCTAATTGCATACACGTTAGGCGCGGCGTCCACAGTCTTTGCTCTCTCGCTCTTCGCGAGGAAGATCTCGGTGGCGATGTGCCAGATGATGATGCCCTCCTGGAACTCGACGCCGAGGGAGTCTTTGAGGACTCCTTTGTGGTAAAGCCCCTTTCGGTACAACGGGTCCTCGCCCCACTTCTTCCTCAGCATGCCCGTG